AAGCCAAAAGAAAGGTTTCCGCCGTGTGGGACCATTTTGATCTCGTATCAGAAAATAAGGTATTGCCAGGTCCCAGGATCCTATGAGATACTGGGACAACCAAAAGGCAATCTATCCAAACCTCTTCCGACTTGCCTTACAATTTCTCTACACTCCAGCCTCATCTGTGCCGTGTGAGCGGGTGTTTTCTACAGCTGGAGAAGTTGTATCAAAAAAGCATAACAGACTCAATTTCAAAATGTTGGAAAAACGTATTTTTTTGAATAAAAATTTGTAAAGAAAATCCCAGTCCACAAACATCCTCATTCACAACACGTTCATTTAGATTTTCACGTTATGATACATGTTCACATTATTTATTGACTGTATCTAAAAATATCAAGGAAATTTTAAATTTAAATGAAGATATGAAATAATACAATATAAAATACAATGACTTAAATTATATTATTGTATATACTAGGTCATCAAATCAATATCAGTTGAGTCTGTCAACTAGGTTGCCTGTAGGGATTTTTAAGGTCTAGCAGGTGTCAGTATTCAGTGACAGTATCGACACAGTATCAATACAGTTTGGCAATGTAACGCTTCATGATGCCTCATCTACCCATCACTACGAAACGCTGAAAACACAAAAGACCAAGGTGATAAAAGAAATCCACAGCACAGTCACTGTCAGCATGGAAATATAAAACACGTATATACATACCACGAAAAGAAAAGGGCTGTTGCGGGGTATGCACGTTACAGTCGTTAATGTAAGTAATGCTCCGGCGACGTCTGCCAGAGGTATAAATAAGGAGGGAGTCAGTCAGCTAACGCGCCTCAGCTGTTCGTGACAACCCACGAGTCACTAATTACTTAAAGCAAAACAGCTGAGGCGCGGATCCCACAAAAAGAGTAGGAGAGAGAAAAGAAAAACAGAGGCAGATCGTGCAAACAGAGGCAGGTCGAGAGAGCAGAGGAGAGAAAGGCAGAAGAGAGGCAGGTCGTGCTGAGCGGACCTGACAGTGACATCAGTGCACCAACCTTCATTTATGTAGAAGCAGATTCCACCTCCTCTCATTTTCCCAGACAGCTCCATTACGTGATCCAGTCTGTACACCTGAAAGCCCAGTACTTGAATCACGCTGTCTGTTATGGAGTCACTGAACCAAGTCTCTGTGATCAAAAAAGCAGCAGAGCGTGCATACTCAGAGTTAGTCCTGTTGATGACAAGAATTTTATCCATCTTGTTGACCAGGGAGCGGAGATTGGCTAGGTGGATAGACGGGTGTGGAGTGCGTGTCCCTCTCTGGCACAGCCTCACTAAGGCGCCCACTCGTTTGTCACGCTGGAATTTTTTCTAGGTGCCGTATATTGCAGCTGCGCCTCCGATCAGAATAATCATACAGCATTCTTCGTTCACAAAAATCGAAGAAAGGTAGTTTGGTGTGAGTTGTCCAATATTTAACAATTCTTCTCTGGTAAAAGTAATCTGGGATGAGTTGCAAAAGACCCAGAAAACACACAAAAAAAACAACAAACACAAGAGAGTAACCAAGGCTGCCATCGTCGGCGCCATCTTGATGAATATCTATATCCATTTTATATAAAAAAATATATTATATAAATATCTATATATCCATATATTATATATCTATGTTATATTATATAAATATCTATATTACAGAAAATACACCCTCTTCCTTCCTATGCCTTTCCCTGAACTTTTCTTCCCTACCTTTAGGTGTGGGGATGAGATCATGGAGATCAACGACACAGTGGTTTACAGCATGGCACTGAATGATGTTTACAAAGTCCTGAGCCAGTGCACACCAGGTCCAGTTCACATCACCGTCAGTCGCCACCCTGATCCCAAAGTATGCAATGCCTTCACCTCATTTACTTTCACCAGTGTAGTTTTATGAGCTACAGGGCAAAGCCTCTGCTGGCTCATGGTCAGTGTTGCTTCATGGGTTGAACTGTGCTTTTAGTATGGGCTTGCTCTGGCTTTCAACTTGGTGTTCTAACTTGTTCCCTCGGTTGGAGGTTGGACTGGACACATTAAATTGCTTGTGTGTAAATGTGTGTGTGTGTGTGTGTGTGTGTGTCTGTGCATATATGAGCCATTTCAGCCAATTTGAGTATTTGTCATGCCATTTCAAAGGTTGGTATCAGTCATTATCACGACCATAAATATTGTTGAGAAAGGGCCTCCTGTACCTCTCAGTATCAACAGATGTAGCAAGTAGGCAACCTCTAGTGGCTGTAGTAATTATGACACAAGCCAAGGAGGAAATGAGGTGAAAAAGTATAGCAAGAAAGTTTGTGTTAAGAGGAGGTCTATGGCACCAGATCGATGACTTTAGTTTGTGGCACAGTCCATGTTAGTACTGTAGGATCAAGTCATTGTTAGTCTTTTCATGGGATTTTCTGATAGTCGGATAAATATAGAACAATGCCAGATTTAGTCTAAATTCAGATTAACTCAAGAATGTTCATTACTTTATACCAACTGCAGTAGTATATAAGATTTCATTATTTTAGGTGACAAATATACACATGTACTGATAGAAAAAATGATGGTGTCATCAGAATAACAAAAAAATACAGTTTGTTGGTAGTAGCTTTTAACAACATTAGTTTTATGACTACATTGAATACACAGAGAATTCAGAAGGCTGTTTCCACTATGTTGCCATTTCTTTTCCTTTATAACTTTCTTTCAAAAGTTTCTGAGTTGCCCTGAGCATTAATAGTTTTTATGCCAACTTATAGTAGTTCAAAGTTCGATGTTTGCACTATAAATGTTGACATTCCATCTTGTGCACACAGGTATCAGAGCAGCAGCTGAATGATGCTATCACTTTGGCAGTGGAAAACAGCAAAGTGAAGAGGGATAAGAGTCAGTGGAGTATAGATGGTAAAGATTTATATGTTCATTATTAATTTTTCACAGTCAAAGAGTATATTCAGGATCATGACTGGGCTGGAACTTCAAGGAAAGCTTTTCACATGTTTGCCTTGACCTGTGTTGTCTTGCACACTTCATTTCATTTTCATGTCTTTTTTAAAAATTCTATAATTAAAATTCCCATAGCAATATGGCAGCTTGTCACATGTCTTTGAAACACCCCACTTAAAAAAGCTGTGGCAAAGAAGTTATGTGACCACCTGCACAGGAATGATTTGTTTGAGGATTTTCAGTCAGGATTTAGAGTCCATCATAGTACAGAAACTGCACTGGTGAAAGTCACCAATGATCTTCTCCTAGCCTCAGATAAAGGACTTGTCTCCATACTTGTCCTCTTAGATCTCAGTGCTGCTTTTGACATCACAGTATCTTATATATGGATGTGCTAGAATAGGATATTAAGTTAATTGGGGCAAGAGTAGAGGATGCCGAGGATAGAGTTAGGTGGAAACAGATGATTCGCTGTGGTGACACAGCCAAAAGAAGAAGATCACAGTATCTTACTACAGAGACTTCAACATGTTATTGGGATTAAAGGAGCTGCACTAAGTTGTTTCAAATCTTATTTATCAGAAAGATTCCAGTTTGTTCATATTAATGATGAATCTTCCGCACAGACTGAAGTTAGTCATGGTGTTCCACAGGGCTCTGTGTTAGGTACAGTTCTCTTCACTTTATACATGCTCCCTTTAGGTAATATTATCAGGAAACACTGCATAAATTTCCATTGCTATGCAGATGATTCTCAGTTATATTTATCTATAAACCCAGATGAATCAGATCAGCTGGTCAAACTTCAAGCATGTCTTAAAGACATAAAGGCCTGAATGACCTGTAATTTCTTACTTCTAAATTCTGACAAAACTGAAGTTATTGTACTTGGGCCTGAAAACCTTAGATATCTGCTGTCTAACCATATAGTTATGCTAGATGACGTGGCTCCATTACTACTGTGAGGAACCTTGGAGTCTTTTTTGACCAGGATATGTCCTTTAAATCACACATAAATCAAGTCTCTAGAAATGCCCTCTTCACCTGCACAATATCGCCAAAATCAGGAGCATCGTGTCTCAAAGTGATGCTGAAAAACTGGTCCATGCATTTGTTACTTCCAGACTGGACTACTGTAACTCTTTACTATCAGGATGTCCCAACAATTCCCTAAAAAACTTCCAGTTAATCCAAAATGCTGCAGCCAGAGTACTGACAGGAACTAGCAACTAGGTCAGGAACTAGGTCAGTAGCTGACCTAACATTAAAAGGTAGACTATTCCACAATTTAGGTAACAGTAAAAGTAAAAGCAGTACAAACAGTAAAAGCATGGTCACCCCAGCGTTTATATCTGGCCCTCTAAAAGAAACTGGCTTGAAGCTCTAAGGGACCTTGTAGGTTTGTGCCAGTGCACTAATTTGGTGAGGTAAGATAGTGCCAAACCACTAAGAGCCTTAAAAACAAAAATCAATAACTTACAATGTACGATGTACAATGAGAATAAAATAGGACCAAGCACAGATCCTTGGGGGACACCTGTCAGGGCCGCTCGGCAGCCGCTGCCTCTCCTCCTTTTTGTCTCTTTGTTTTCTCCGTTTTGTGGGCTCTGCACCTCAGCTGTGTTGCATTCCAGTAATTAGTAACTGGTTGTCAATGCACACAGCTGAGGTGCATCCCGGTGATCACCTTCTTTCCTTATTTAAACCTTGGACAGACACTCCGCCTTCTCCGGAACATTAGCAAACATAGCTAACTATAGCTGACTGATATCAGACATAGCTCAACATAGCGCCGCTTTAAGTCAGTAACTATGGAATGCTACGCTGTTAGTTACTGTTGCGTTTTGGCTTGACTCCTATTACACGACATAGGCGTTACACTACACTACACTAGACTACACTATACACACACCCTGAGTTTTTGGTTCGTCTCTGTGGCTTGGCTTTTGGACTATGCTTACTCTGTTTGTCTACCGTAAATTTGTGTGAGCACCTGTACGTCCTGGTCCCCTGTGTTATCACTGCCCCTCCTTTGTTATCACTGCCCTTCCTTTGTTATACGTATTACAGACCCTGTTGTTGTTGTTACGTTTGGCGTTGTCTTGCTTTTTCCCCCATTAAACCTTTGTTTTGTACTAGCACTTGGGTCAGCTATCTTGTGTCCTACCCCTAGTTCTCCCTCACCCTCCTGGCAAGGGGGGCTAACCTTAACAACACCACAGGAAAGGATAGTTGAGGATGATGAACAGGTACCAATATTTCCAGTAAAACTTCTATTAGTGAGATAAGATCTGAACCAGTTAAGAACAGTACCTTGAATTCCGACACACTGCTCCAAACGAGATAAGAGGATTCCATCATCCACTGTATCGAAGGCAGCAGTGAGATATAAAAGCACCAATAAAACTGAATCCCCAGTGTACCTAGTCAACAGGATATCATTACTGATTTTTAATAATGCAGACTCAGTACTATGTTTTGATTTAAAACCAGATTGAAATTGCTCCTCAATGCCATTATCTGTCAGAAAAGACTGGAGTTGAATAAAAACAATCTTCTCCAGAACTTTAGACATAAAAGGTAGATTAGACACTGGTCTAAAATTAGAGAACACTAAAGCTACAGCAAATAAATACGTTATAAGCAAGGATTTAAAAGTAGTCAGGTCAGTAATGGTTAATGTAATGTCAAGATTTGGCTTTTTGAGAAGAGGCTGGACAACTGCTTTTTTGAAAGCCTCTGGCAGAGAGCCTGTCCTTACACATAAATTTATTAGAGCTAGAAAAGTAGGCCCAACAGAGTCAAAAACATCATACATCAAAACAACAAAAAACATCAAACAACATAATGCAGAAGCGGTTTAAAGCCTTCATTCCTCATAGTACATCTAAATCAGTTTTCATGTAATTTTAAACATCCAGAAATCACAACAACCAGCATCAACTGCCATTTTTTTCAAGAGATGCTCCTCTAATTTTTTATATGTATTATATTATTATTTCAATATACTGCAGGTGAGGAGTCATTTTGTTGCATTTCTCCTTCTTTCCCAGGGCTGCGCAGACTGGAGTCTTGCTCTCACAGCCGGCAGAGATGTGAGCAGTGTCCGGAGAAAGGTGTCACTCAGCTGACAGTTGGACAAGCACAGAAAACCATGACCCGCTCCTGCAGTGACAACACCAACAGCCACCACCACAACCGCTGCCTCACCCTCCACAACACACACCACACCTCATCAGTGTGTGTCCACAGCCTAGACACACCCAAGGTAACCACACATGACACAGCTTCACGCAGCGTTCAGCACAGTAGAGCTAACTGCTGCTATTATTAGCTCTACTGCATTGTAGTGCATCCTGCATTTTTTGTCATTATGTATTGATTTTTTTAATGTAATGTGTTCAAATATTGATGCATGATTTGAATTTCTTAACTGAAAATCTCTCACTGTCTACATGTAAGTCATGGCCAAAAATAGTGCCACCTGTGCAGTTCTGTCAGATAACACACCACTTCTCCCAGAAAGTGTCATGATTCTGTCCTGTCAACTTCCATTCTCATGCTTTTATTTTGACATTACTTCCTGTTTCTGTTTCACCTTAGTTTCAGACTTTTTACTTTAATCTGCACTCATTGTTTTCACCCCAATATAAGCAGCTTTCCCCCACTGGAAAGCTGTCAGATTGTTCTTGTGCCTGTATTTTCATGTTTTGACCCCAGACTGTTTTTTGACCATTGTGTTCTGCCTTGCCCTACTGCTTTCTGTGTATTGACTATCAGACCTCCCTCTATGACCTCTCGTTTGTGGATTCCTCGGCTCTGAACGTTTGCTGGCTCTGACCCTGGACTGTATTTTCGACCTGAGTGTGTGTTTTGTGTTCACATAGTTTTCGGTAGGGTTTTATTGTCCGTGCTCTTATTAAAGAGACAGTTTTTCACTTATCATTGTCTGGCTCTATAATTGAGTTCACCCTTGCTATTATTGGCATCTTCACACGCTGATCCTGACAGAAATTGGTTGCAATCACAAATTTGGTATTGTCATGTTTATTTCTTTTGTTTCCATTGGACTAACACAACAAAGCAGAGAAACAAAAAGCCAAATCTGATCCATTCCACACAGAACTTCAAAAGCGGACTGGACAGAATTATTGACACCTTTACAAAATCATCAGAAACAGTTGTATTCCAAGCATGTGCTGCTCGATTGATTTGTAATGAAGCTCACCTGTAGCATTATTGACACCCTCAACTTAATA